GGTTTGCTCCATAATTATACATAATGGCAAATGTTTTTGTAATTAAGGCGGCACGGCTGTAATGCAACAGTCGTTCGGTCCAGGGACCAAGTTTTTGTATCAGGGACAGACAGTCGAGATCCAGAGCACGTGCAGATTCCAGGCATAATTAGCCAAGTTAATTATAAATGTCCCGGCCAAGTTGGGACTGTTCGACAGTTTTTTTATTTTTGTCTCCTTTTTGCAGGCGATGAGCAAAACTTGTTTAAATTCGATTTTAAAATAAATCAGCTCGGCCAGGAAGTTGCCGCCTGGGAAACTTACGTTGTTGCAGTTCGACGAAGGCAGAGTCATTAAAGCTGCCAAGGACTACCAAGTAATTTGCGCTGATTTTCGATTTCAATTTCGACTCGCTTTAAGTTTTAGTTGGGCGGAAATAACTTGCTGCTTTCGTGACCTATTTAAGCTATTAAAACCAGTCTAACGATTTATTTGACACCTGAGCTTTTGCCCTTATTGAAGCTGTCAGAACTACAACGAAAATGCATTTACTCACAGGAATTGATTATGTTCTTCTCCACTGACTATTTTTAAAGGCTTAAAATCGGTTTGACATAGATAAGCAACTAACTTCTGATGCAACGGTTTTTAATCTACTAGACCCACTTTCAATCATCCGCTTTTAACCTTTAAGCTACGGCTATGGCTATGGCTATAATCATGACCCAGCGTTATTCAGTTTGTCTTTACCTTTGACATTCGTTGACGCTTACTGAAAGCTTTTAAAGTCTCCGCTTTTTGCCAAGTTGAAGGTTTCATTAAAATTTCAAAACAAAGTTTCTTCAAGTCCATCGTCTTGTGATTTCCCTACAGGGAAGTTAATGAAAATCACTTCCTAATTCATCAATCATTTTGGGCTTACGTTTTTGTAGGTTTCATAAAAACTTACTTAAGATATAGTTTTTCTTGGGAACTATGACCTCTAATTGAATTGAATATTGATACAAATTCCATTGTAAATTCCAATTTTGATAAATATGTAAATATATTGTCTGTGTTCTTAGGCCAAAAACTTGCTTATTCACGATCAGTGATTGTATAAAAGCAGCTGCATTTGGAATTAATGTATTAAAAATGCACAAATGCAATGAGTTTTAAGATACAAAATTTTAATATTTACTGGCATTAGGGAAATCTAGCTAGTAGTAACTTTTTAAATGCCATTAGAAACACTTTTTATCTCCTAAGTTTGTATTTTTAGAAATGAACTAGATGAGCTAAGTAGGGTTTTAAACCCTAAACCCCGGTTTAATGGGTAATAACAATTCTTTGAAATGAATATTAGCTTTTGCCTGGCAATAGGAAATGTTTATAAATAAATCGAGGCATTTCCAGTTTTTATTAAAGTTGTTTATCTGCCACGTGCTGGAATCGTTTAAACTGAAACTTTGACCAATGTGCAAGGCCAAGAAACTCCAAGAATCAAACACTTGTTGCTCTTTTCTGTTCTCTTCTCCCCACTTTTCGCTGCTCACCTTGCCATGTCTCTCTCTCTCTTTCTCGGCATTTTCTCTGTGAGTTTCACAAGAGCCGCCGGAGTTGAAGTCTTCAAGTGGCGCTCCATTCGCTTCATGGAGCGAAGCCGGCCGGTACAAAAAATAAGCATAAAATGGAATAATTATAAGGGGAAGCAGAACAAGCAAAGAGTGTGCACTGAAAGAAATGGTTTTCTTTTACATAAAATATTTATATTTTATTATTTGTTTCTCTCCCTCTGTTTTTTTTATTTATAGGATGAGTTTTCATAAATAAATAAATAAATAAATAAATGTCATATTTTATTTCTTCATGTTTAACCACTTTTCAAGAAGTAAGGAAGAGATTTAAATTTAATATATATAAATTTTTAAAATATCATTACAAGTTTTTAGCTTTTTATAATTTGTTATAATAAACCTAGATACAAGGCATTTTTGGCCGTGTAGGCAGAGCCGAGTGCAGAGGAAAGTAAAAGGTTTCTGCCGACAATAAAGAGTGGAAAGGAGTCAGCAGAAAGAGGGGCAGAAGGGAAGAGCTCCGTAGTCTGAAAATCGTATGACGTTGTGGAATGTTGAGACATGGAAATGGAAGTGGAGTTTACTGGCATTGCCAGACGCTTTGGCTTTCGGCTGGCAACAAAATTCACATAAATAAAACTTGAGCCGAGTAAGTCGGAGTTGGAGACGGAGACTTAGAGCCTCAGCTAAAATCGGAGCTGGAAATCGGGGTATATATTTATATGTACATATGTATATAGACATGGAGCCGTGGCTGGTGGCATGATCGCCAGAAATGCGAGAAGCGGTGGCAGCAACAATAAACACCGCCGCCCGTTACACTGGACGAAAGCCAAGATGATCTGATAAAAAACAAGCCGTGATTGAATATTAATGTGTCACTAATTAAGATTTAGGGCTCTGATAAAGAGCTATCATATAAGTTTCGTAATTACGTTTGTCGTTTTTGATTCATTATAATAGTTCCTCATATGTAAATGTATTTTTAATATTTGTAAAAGATAATGAAAAGTCCACTGTACATGGAAAACGAGGTTTACCGTCATAGAAATGAGTCATTTTGTTACAAATATTTTTCAAGAACTATAATCAAGACTTTGGTATTTTATAGAATTAAATTCTTTGCTTTTATTTCATAGGTTCTAATCAACTATGTTTTCTGAATCACTTAGACGTAAATTTGATGGTGTGATGTTCTTGCTTGATTCTTATGGTACAATCTACTCCTAAAAAGCTTTTATATTACGATTTTCTTACATTTTAAGTTAGAAATAAACCAAGTGACTAGAAAACTTACATATATCCAATGGGGTGCCGATCTTTCCCGAAACATTCAAGAACTTTAAAGGATTTCCATTAAGAACCGAGTTAAGAGAGTTGCCAATGTTTCCCATTCCAGATCCTATCCCAGGACTTATGCTGTTAGCTGCCGCTGGAGCCAGGTGTTTCAATTGATCCATGGACGGTACTAGTGTACTGGCTTTCAGTCGCTCCAGCAGTGCTGATCCGCTCAGATTGTGCATTATCTCGCTGGCTGTGGGCGTGGCAGCGGTAACCTGAGCGGCGTTTACTGCCGCTGCATTGCAGAACTTGCTGATGCTCAGGATGCAGGTGATGAAGAGCAGGTGAAACGAAGAGGTGAAACTGAAGCTGATCAGCTGCTGAACTTTGCTATGGTAATGTGTGCTGGCGCTGTAGAAGAAGCCGCTAGTTTTGGCCGGTTCTCGGCAACTGTTGCTGACACTTTCAATTGTCTGGAAATCTGGCTGAGGTGCGTCTTGAAAGCATTCCGTGAATTCCGGTAGGCATTCCGCTGTTGCCATCTTTTTGTTTCAGCTGCTAAAATATATAGGGAAACATGCACTTTAGGCTCAGTGGGTCACACACGCTTTTCACTCTAATTCGAATTGCCAAACTTATTTATATACGGCCATCTTATTAAATAATAAGTCCAAGCGAATATACACGCAACGTTTGCCAAAAAACATTTCCCAAAAAAGTGAGAGAACGAAAATCGAATGTATCGGAAAGAGTGTGCAAGGCATGAAGGCATGATAAACATGCTGAAAAAGCCCCAGCTGAAAAAAGAAACATCATACGATGTTGCGAAAAAAAAGAAACAGCATAAAAGAGCAAAGAAAACATGAAATATACACAAAAAGTGCAAACTAAGGGCGACGACTTTGGTCAATTCGAGGGTTAAACCTCATGCTGTCTCTTTCGCTCATTATATTGCTGTCTTTTTCGGTGTGAGTTTTATTTGAATATGTCAGCTATCAGCGCTGTAAAGTGTGATAAGCCAGGTGAGCCTGCTAAGTCATGCGCAACCACTACCCATTGACACCAATTCCCCTTCCGAATTCGTTCTCTTCTGTTTTTTTCCAAATCTTATTTTATTTATTTAGTTTAAATGGCGAAAAACACATGTTCGAGTGAAATTTTATGCTGTTTTTTTCACATGACATATTGACGTAACGTTTTGGGCCAAAATAGATTCATACATTATTTTGCAATTAACACTTTTTTCTCGCTCGACAAATGCTCGTTAATGATGAGCTGGCCTTAAAGCCTCGGCTTAAACTTTTTTTGTTGGATTTTATTTGCTTTGAACTTTTGCTTTCCGAAACTTTTTCGCGCTCCGAAATTTCTCAGCTTAACGGTTAAGTTATATCTAAAAGCATGCGGCGGATACGCGGAATGCGACTAGCGACGACCTAACGGCACGCACTGTGTTTACAGACTGCCGGTGGGATATCGGTTGTGAAGTGAGCTGGCCAGCGGACCAATGGCACTGTTTTTGCCACCTTCGGCTTTCGTTCGGCTACCAGCCGACGATCGCCACGCGTACAAGATCTTACCTGTCAATAAAGAGAGTTATGAGCGAGAGAGCGGCCCCACATGGTTCGACGTCATCAATTGTAGGGCCCCACCGTACTCTTTCATTTTTTAAGAATCGATCCCCCAAACTCAAAGAGATTGTAAAACTAAGAGCATTACTGACATTGAAATGGCATAAACCGGCTGTTCTCTCTTTAAACACTCTCTTAGTTCGTGTAACAATTAATTTTGGAGGTGTGTTCCACTATTTTTCTCTTTCTGCGGCCAATTAGTGAGGTAGGCAATTTATCAAATTATAGGTCCAACTTGCTTCTAGTCTTGGGTCAAAAAGCCAAGGCTTCGATTGAAAACAATAATGGGAGTTGTAATATAGAAACACCTGTATCTATATTGGTCAATGATATCTTCAATTGTTCTTCTCGTGTATATGAACATTTATTGATCAAGCAATTGATAAATTGAAAGCACGTGAGAGGTTCTATTAGAAATCTTTTTAATAATTTTAATAGTTTTTTTATCATCATTAGAAATCCAGTAATTGCTGAAAATTATTATTTAATATTCCAATAGACTTACCTTTTTTATAGCTTTCTACTCCCAATAAAAATCATTTTAGTATGCTACACATAAGTATATTCTGAGTTTATTATTCATAATATTTGTTTTTTAGTGGGGAAACATATACATATGTATGTACACTTAACAAATACAGTTAACAAAAGGCTAATACGTATGTAGTAATAATGGTAGTATAATAAAACGGCTCTGCTCCTCGACAACAGAAATATAATTTCTCAACTCTCTCTTTCTAATAGTAGACCATAAGCATTATGATCGTTTTTGTCATGTTTACGTATAGTAATATTAATTTGCTTCATTTAAAAATAATGCACACTTACAGCTATATACAGTTTGGAACTATGTAATTTATAATTAGCAATTAGATTTCTCTTAAACATCTCGATTTGTTTTACGTTTTTCGTTAAGGTTTTTTCTGTTTTTTTGTGATAGAACTCTGCGACATAGTATTTTGTACAGCATCCTTTAAGGATGCACCCCCAAGGTGACCCGCCGTCCTTGCCGTGCCTTAAAATTTTAAAATAATTAATTTACACAATACACAGAGTTGCTCAGTCTTCAGGCGTGTGTGTTCTTCTGCCGCGGGTCTCGAGTCAGCTTTGGTCATCTAATTTGTCCACCGACCAAGCTAAAGAATCCTTCACTCGATTCACATTTCACACGATTCCAAAGGAATCAATCTAATACGAGGATATGCCTATGACGGGTGAGTACTGTAAAGTAGAAAAAATAATATTAAAAATTAAATCAATATATCTTTACTTTTTGTTTCAAATTAAAAACAAAATTTCAAGTAGTTATCTTTTTAAAAACCCACCTCCTCATCCATAACACTGGTATGGTCGTAGATTCTGGCCGGCAGGTTTTTCCGCAGACTGAAATGATCCTCTGTGGTGGTCGTCTTGCGGTAGATAGGATTCTCAAAGTTCATCGAGTTGATGCGTCGCTTGCTGCAGTAGCGATAGCCAATGAGCAGGAGCTGTCGATAACCAAAAATTGTAATTAGTTTTTCCTCTTATTTTCACTCAGTCTGTCTGGATGTCTGTGTTGCCAACTTACCACCGATAGCAGGACTGCAAAACCACTGAGACTGGCTATGACCACCAGCGCAATAAAACCGGAATCCGGCTGCTCGCTGGGCGTTGTGGTCTTTTCGATTTGGGTCTGGTTCTTCACTGGACGCTGTTCGGCAACTAAGGATGGAAAATTGTATCAAAATTAGAGGGATTTTAAAATGGGAAAGCAGACATAAATCAACACAGTGAACATTAAGCACATATGATAATAAATTTAATTTAAAAACTTATTAAAAAATTTTAGTAAAACCATGCCTCTAGTAAGTTTAAGCTCTTATATATAAAAATACATTATATATAAATATATAAAACAATAAAAATGTAAATCTACATCGTGGGAAGCCAAAAATACTCTTTTAGACAAGATGATAAATTTAATTTTTCGCCACCTAAAACATTTTGCAACCCTTTGGGACTGTGAATTTTCCCACACAATGACGAGGCTTAAACGTTACTTCACCTTCGGCAATGATAAACAAAAGGGAAAACTGTATAAAAAGAAAACGGAAATCATTGCAATAAAAGAGCCAAGTGAAAGAGGGAATCAACATCAAAATCCAAGCGGCTTAGACCCCCTTCTTAAATCCTGCTCAGCTCTAGAGAGTGGCGAAGGAATTTTCAATCAAATCGCTCAAAGTGCGCATTTAGGCGCAAATAAACACTTAAACGCGCTCGCGCCTTTGATGGCGTAAACTTTTATGCGAAAGAAGCGGCATGCCGCCCGATTTAGATTGGGAATAGGAATAGGAATGGCGAATGGCAATGGCAATGGCAATGGCAACCTAATGACATCGTTAACGCTGCGTATTTAATGGGATTTTTGTCAGGCGCCTTGGGAGGACTTCATCTCTAGTCTTCTAGTCAAAACAGTAAAAGTTATCAGCATTAAGTTGAGCCGCACTTTAAAGCAAACACTCCTTTGGGGGCGACAGACGACGGATGAAGCACAGCACCCCAAACCCCTACCCCGATATTAACCTCATACTTTGCGGCTGGTGTTTGTGGGTTAAGAGAGCGGGATGTGGCATGGGGCAGAAATAGGGGCACGACGGCTTCCCTCCAGAGGTTTCAATTGCAGTGTTGTCCCATCGCCTGCCTACTTGCGGTTGCCAACGATGCAAGTGGCTCAACTGCGATGGCATTTATGAAACTGTCAAGGATAGATGTATGTAGGGGTTGTACCCAGACCAAACTCCTGATGATGATGATTAATGTGGGCCATGACAAAGCAAATGTTGCGGATTGGGCGCTGCAAAAGGGCTTTCCTTGAGCGGGGATCTTGCCAAGCGGTTATGATTAATACGCTTGCAATAAATCTGAATCTGAAACTGAATCTCAATCTGCGTTGGAGTCTCACGAAAGTGTTTATAAACAGTGCGTGGTGAATGAGGAAGACGTCGAACTTATAAATTGAGAGGAAGTCGACGGGTTGTCAACCCATCCGTAAGGATAACTATCGAAGCTCCACTCTCTCTCTTGAGACTTATTAATCAAAATTTCCGTTGACGTCCTGCTGATGAAGTTTCGTTCGTTTCCGTTCTGTCATTTAAAATCTGAGATTGAGCGACAGGATGGGGTTAATGTGTGTGGGATTCGAGAATAATTTTTGGACACTTTTGAATGATTGGTTTTCCAGAAATAAGCATAGCAGGGACTCAGTTTAAGGTACCCAAATATATTCATAACTTAAAATTGATGGGGATATGTGTATGATTTCTGAATAAAAAACACAGGTAATGAAAATTTTACAATAACACAAAACGAATATAAGTAAATATTACGTTTTAATTTCTAATATTAACCACCCAAATTCTTTTTACGACCCAACAGAAAGATTTTTCCCAGACAAAACAAGGACAACACAAGAAAGGTTCCCCTTTTCGGGTGGACCCACACAGGACTTGACACGACAAGACACAGAACAGGGTTGTCGAGCCTACCGAAAGTCGCGGGCAACAGGGGCAGCCTGGTGCTCAGCTGGAGATCATCGTTTAATCCGATCCGAATGTCAGCATGTCCCATTTGGACACCCGTGGGCAGTCGTCGCCTCGGGGATTTCGGTCTCGGTTTCGTTTTGCGGGCGCGGGGTGGTTTCGTGATTGGTGCCACGTAAAGAGCTACATGCGGGTGCAAGTCATGCCGGATTGGGGGGAATCGGGTTTTTTGGGGAATTATTAGTAAGCATAAAATTAAAATCAAAGCCATGCTGGTTAAATTAAAAGCAAACGGCTAAGGGAATGATGAAAGTTCTCAAATACTTACGATCTTCGACACACATCAGGCCGTCGACCATTAACTTCAGGCCCGTGGGGCAGGCGCAGGATATGCGAGGACTCCGATCATTGATCCTAGGAGCTGGCAGGCAGAGATGAGAGCAGTGGCCATTCACCGACTGGCAGTGATTCACGCCATCTGGCTGGCGATATGGATGGTACACGTGTACCACCATCGGATGTTGAAGCTGAAACGAAAACATATTCATTTTTAAAATAATATCTAAAATATATATGTTTTTTATGAAATTATAAGTATAGTCTCACAAAATAGTATCAGAATGTTGACTTTACTTACCATATGCATTGCCGTGACTGGCTCCACATCCTCTCCAGTAAACTTGTTGGCCTTGAAGACAGCCTGCTTATCCCAGTCGGTCCAGTAGACGCTATCCTCGAAGGTGGTGATGGAGAAGGGATGCCGCAGGTATTCACCGGAGTAGAGAACTTGACTCCTCTGGGAGCCATCATAGTTTGCCGATGAGATGACATTAAGTTTTCCATCCACCCAGTAGATACGTTTCCTAACCAAATCCAGAGTAATGCCATTGGGCCACTTGACGTCGTAGCTAATGATGGTGGTACGGTGGGAGCCATCCATTCCAGCTCGTTCGATGCGAGGAGAGGCACCCCAGTCGGACCAGTACATCCACCCCTCGATGGGATCCAAAGCAATGGAACGCGGAATATCTAGGGAATCCTTCACCAGAACCTTGCCCATGGTGCCCTCGAAGTTGGTCAATTCAATGGTGCACTTGTGGGTATCCGTAAAGTAGACATGGTTGTAGATCCAGTCCACGGCCAGGCCATCGGAGGTCACCGAGGACTTGGTTAGCACAACAGTCTTGTCATTACCCTCATCAATGGGAGCCTTGTAGATACTCTGCGTGGTTACATCGCTCCAGAAGATCATCCCGGTGCGGAAGACAAAGTCCAATGCTGTGGCTGCCTTTGTACTATTCACTATCGATGTCATTTCCATGTGATCCAGGGATATCTTACGGATATCATGGCGTCTGGCCAAGAGCAGGGAGGCATGTCCTTCGCTGGCTTTGCATCTAGTGTGATTTTTAGGATCCCTCATGTAGCCCGCCTCGCATTCGCACTTGAATCCTCCAATCTCGTTCACGCAGATCTGAGAGCACCTTCCAGGGGTATCGCACTCATTGATGTCCTGGCAGTTTCTTTTGTCCGCTGACAACTTGTAGCCCTCGTGGCATTCACAGTGGTGACCCACCTTTAAATCGATGCACTGATGCATGCAGCCTCCATTCTTCGAAGCACACTCGTTGACCCCACACTTGCCAGCTGGTTCATCCTCCCCGTCAGGACAATCCTTTCTTTTATCGCAGACTTTCGACAGCGGAATGCACTGACCTCCGCCGCAATCAAATTCACTGGTGGCATTGCAGCCTCCTTTGGCCACGCCCAGACTCAAACTGAATCCACAATCCCGCTCGTCGCTGCCATCGGGGCAGTCTTTGTCCCCGTTGCACGTGAGATGTCCTGGAATGCAGCTACGGTCACCGCACTGGAACTGATCTGCCCGGCAGGTCACGTTCTTGCAGTTGGCCGTGTGCTCATCATCGCCATCGGGACAGTCGCGGTCACCGTCGCAGAGCCAACTGTGATGGAGGCAGGTGATACGATCCTTGCACTGGTACTCGTGTGGCAAACAGGGCGTGGTTGTCTTTGTCACATTGGCACAGGACTATAAAGGAGGCAAGGAAATAACAAGAAAGGAATTGATAAATACATCAAAAATATAGATTTTTAAAGAATTTATTTATTAATATAATTAGAGCTCTTTGGGGAATATTTACAATAATTTTTAACATATTGGTATACTATTATTCCTGAAGAATCCAAAATGAACTTAAATGCCTTAAATACCAAAAATTGCTGAAATTTTTTCGGTTCTAAGGTGCAAATAAAACGAGGGGTTAGGCTGTGAGTAGAACCAGACAAAGTTTCCTGCTCTCAGTTTGGGAAACTTTTCTCAGAAGCGGAAGTATGCAAGGGGTGAAGGAAATTCCTGCACTCGGGGGAAATTATGCACCCCCTAAGCATGCAAAAATGCAATTTTATGCGTGCCATGCGTTGACAACAAAAGCTGCCAAAGCTGGCAGGGCGCTGAGTTATGCCCAACTTGGCCATAATTCATGTGGCTTAGTCGAGGAGCAGCAGCTCCAGCAGCAGCAGCAGCCAAAAAATGAAAGGATGTTTCCATAAAGGGGTCTAAGTTTTTGCCACCCTCCCTTAGCTAACAAGGAATGGAGATTTATGGCAGGCATTATTCACTCACCCGCTCATCGGAACCATCGGAACAATCCGGATCGCCATCGCAGACCCAACGTTTCGCGATGCAGGCTCCATTCGTGCAGGTGTGCTCCGCCACGGAGTCACAAGGGACCACCGGGCACTCCTTCTCATCCGATCCGTCGCCACAGTCGTCGTCGTGGTCGCACTTCCAACGCTTCTGGATGCAACGCCCATTGCCGCAGGTGAACTCGTCGGCGCGACAGGTCTGGTCTGCGAATTTATCAAAAATACTTAGGCTTACCTCGCCACAAAAGGGAGTTGCAACAAATAAGAGACAGACAATGTAAACCAAAGCCAAATGAAGTGAATGAAGGAGTTGTGATGGGTTAAGAATAGGAGTTACTCTAGGGAGTTAAAATGTAGTTTATCAAGCCAAAGAAAAGGTAATGGTGTAGGTAGAAAATTAACAAAAATATTGAATAAATTTTCGGTGGAATGTTAAACAAAACTAGTTTATACAGAAAGACATGTGTAAATATTAAAATGTATTCTGAAATGATGTGGAACTCTTTAATTGAACTTTCGAAACAAAGAAAATATACATTTGTAAATCAAATACAACTGCAAAAGTATTTCTCCTATAACAGAACTTAAAATACAGCAAAAGAAATGATTATCCGCACTTCGTTCGGGGTCATCGGAATCCTTGCCACACAGCCAAGCACAGAGAGCTCGAATGGAAGGCAACTAAAAACCAAAAGCCAAATGAAGTGCGGTTGCCTCAATAGTTGGAATAAGTTAGCCATGAGGTTTAGTTTGTGGAACGGGATTGGAATGGGGTAAGCTTTGAAGCTGGTTGGTTTGAGGAATGTTGCCATAGACGAATGAAAATTAAATAGTATTTCCACTTTCAAAGATAGCTCAACTCAAAACTCAAGGCATTTATCTGAACTAAAAGTTAAATCGAAGTAAATAAATTGTTGAATCTAGGCAGACGGGGCAGTTGGAATACTAAAAACAAAAAAAAATAAAATAAAAATAACTACAACTTATTTACATTCCAGGCTAAGGTAGAAAATTGCATAGAAATATTTGCAGGGATATAAGTTGAACTTAAATAAATAGAACCAAGAATGCTGAGAAACTGGTAAAGTAAAATCTGTGTAAATCTAAAATTCGAATTTGATAAATATTTGCAAAGAATTTCTGTACCCAAAAATCATAAAAAAAACCATAAGGTATTAGAGGATTATTCTTACTGCAGTTGTGCTCATCAGAGCCATCGCTGCAATCCTTGCTCTGGTCGCACATCCAGGCCAAAGGAACACACTGCCCCTCGCCGTTCTTGCAGGCGTATTCATCCGGTGAACAGGTGCGGGCTCCTATTGATTTCAATGTGCAGCATTTGTTAAAATATGAGAGAAATGGAAGAGAGGAGCAAAGTGTTCGAGCTGTCATTACTTTCAATGCATTACGCATACGCCATGTATAACCGTGGAGACAATAAATTCATTTATCCCTAACCTAAAATCTCAAAGGGGAAGAAATATAGCCAAATTTTCCATTGGCCTTGGGGTTTTATCTTAGGGTTCGATGTCACTAGAGTACTGATTTTACGTAGTAAGACCCCTTAGTACAGTGGAACTTAAATAAAATATACAAAAAATATAATTTTTGATATTTTTGAAAACCAATTCTAACTTTAAGTTTAGCTTTTTTAAAAAGACCTTAACCAAAACTCCCGTTCTTTTTATCGAATTTCCACTGTACTAAAAACCCTGGCAGAAACAGAGACTCTGTAGCAGCAACGCCTTTGTCTGTGTGCGGGGTATTAAGCGAATTTCATGCGATGTTGCCGGGCGCCAGCGACAACGCGTCGTATACTTGTTGTCAAGGGCCGTCAGGAATGAGCACACAATACACCCACCCACACCCACACACACAAAAGCATACTCGATGCTAAGCATACACATACATATACACACTCACAGGACTCTCACTCTCAATGACTTGATTAAACTTCTAAGCACAAGAAGAGGGGGAAGCGAAATTGTTGCGAAAATTATGCAAGCGCCACTCCATTTACGGTGCGTATGAGTTATGCGGCAAGTTGGTTAGTGAAAGCGATTAAACGATGGGCGTAGTAGTTGTAGTAGTAGTGGGTGGTTTCATATCGATTGCAAGGACGAAATATGGTATATGGTATTTTGGGCTTACTGCAGTGGGCCTCATCGGACTTGTCGCGGCAATCGTTGCTGCCGTCGCAGAGCCAACTGCGCGGAATGCACTGGTCGACCGTTTGGCATTTGAACTCGTTGTTGGGACAGGCGTTCACTAAACACACACACAATCAAAATAGTCGTCGGTTAGCTGGCTTGCAGGTTCATTCTCTATGGGATTTCTTCTCATCCCACATCCCCATTCCCTCCTCCAAAATACTTACTGCACAACTCGTTGGCTTCGTCTGAGCCATCGGCACAATCGCTCTCCTGATCGCAGCGCCATTTGTTCGGTATGCAATTGCCATTCCCGCAGCGGAATTGGTCCGACGAGCAAGTGGCCTCTGGAAAATGGAGGTAGAAATGGGTTAAATCATGGCTGAACAGCTGTTGGGGAGGAGTAAATAGAGTTGAGAACATGTCAGTGATTTATCTTAAGGTACTTTAGTTACTTAAAATAAAATAGAAAACATTTTAGTGTTTTTTCAGGTGATAATAAATTAAGACAGAAAAGGGGAAGCCTTTTGGTGCTCTATTTTGTGATCTTAACTTTAAAACCTAAGACTAAACTTTAAGCTACTTTGAGATCTAATTTAAAAAATATTACATGTTACTTTTAAAGTTTAAACTTAAACTTAAATCAAAGTAAGCTAACCTTGATTTTTCCTTTACAGCGACTATTTAAATAATCAAAATTAAATAAAAACAATTTTGGCGGAAAGAGTCTTGCTTTGACCGCAGTTGTATGTTTGCCTGGCTTTGAACTCTGAAGGCGACCCGTATCAAAAACAAAAGCCAAACAAACAGTCGAGGAAATAGGGGCCACTCAGTAATATGCGCGTGTGGATAAGTGTGTGTGTATGTGTGCCCAGTTCTCACATACACTTTCGCACACATATTTATATACACGCACTTGAGCACGTGCTGAGCAGGGAAAATACCCCACAAACACAAACAAAAAACAAAGAACAAAAAATGAGCGCTGCAATGGCTTTTCAATGCCACTCCAAGGAGCAGAAAAAATGTGTCATTTTTATACCGCGCGTGTGCATATATATAGATATATAGATATATATAAAACAGGGTACGTGTAGGGCTTGTAATCGGATTAGTTGGTTTTAGATTCGGCTGACTTGTTGCTATGAAACGCAGCTTTTTTCCCGCCCAACTACCGAACAAGATGGCCACAAAATTCCATTGCATACTTTCGGCCGAACAGTCATGGCAATTGGAAGATTTCCGTTCGCCCGTTAAAACATAATGTGAATGTTTAAGAAATACTTTAAGGTACTTTAAGGCCATTTTTAAGACCACTATAAAATAGAATTCAAAACAATTTCGGTGTAAATGATCAGAACATGCCCTGTGGCCTTTGAAAATTGCTGTTGATTATGCAAATCTTGGCCAGCGCCAAGGGAAATGTATAAAGTTTAATCAATTTTTATGCTTGTCAGGCCTGTGTGCTGGCCATATCAATAACATTTTATATGATTACTTTTCTAAACTTTTTATGAATTCGAATGAAATGTGGCATGAAAAAATGTGCGAGTGTGTCGGTGTCCCTGCGCACAAAACAAAAACTTTGAAGTGAGCCAATATTTGTTAAAAAATAAAAGCAAATATAAATACACATTCAGTGAACAATAAAAATTGGCCACATGTGTGACCCAACCGAGAATAATACATATATACATATATAAAAAAAGAAAAATGAAATAAAAGAAGAAAACACAAGTGCAGTGGGTGGGAAAAACATTTTCCACGCCTGCTTTTGGTTCAATGATTGTCGATTCGGTTTTATGTTATTTTTGTTTGCCACTCTCGTTCTTCCTAATATATATAGTATGTGACATTATTTTTCGGCAAATTGTGCCCCACGGACAAATTGGTAATATTCGCTGATCCACCCATATTAAAATTTGATGTCGCCTCGCTCTCCAATTAAAAATCAAATTACAGCACTTTTTGTATCATGTCCGACATGACAGGGTAAAACTTTCATTGATTGCATTTATGCAACTTCCACTACCAAAAACAAAAAATAAAAAAAACGCACAACAAAAAATGGCAAGAACAAAACATAAATAAAGATATGAAAGTTGACGCTGTCATGCGGCATTTTGCAGCATAATTTATTTTTTTAACTAAGTTTAAACGGCTTTTCAGTTGATTAAAAAACTTTGGCCTTTGGCAGTTGATGTTCCCGTGTATTCCCTCTCAGATTTTGCTCTCTGCCAATTTGTATGCAAATGTTAAGCGACGCTTGCAAAAATATTCTGTTGCATGCAAGGGATGCCCCCCAAAAATGCTGCATAAAGGCTGCTACGGGCTGTTGAAAATAGTGCTGGAAAAACTCCGCAGGGAAACTCGGGGATTTTTGTAAATCCAGATGATTGGGATTTTGGCATGTTTAATTTAAGTTAAAAGGTGTTGAAAACTTTTCGGCCTGATAATAGTTAAAAGTTTTCCCCCGTCGAACTTGGACTAGTTTAACCGAGTGTTCTTCAGCGCTAGGAGTTTACGTTTGGGTCTCGAGCAAGGCTGATAAAAGGACATGATAGCAGTAGCACTACAGAGTTTTAAAGAGTACTTAAGACTTGAAAAACTCTTGAAAGTGGTATAAGGAAAAATCTGGTAGTATTAGCTTAGTGAAGGTATTTGGTAGGTAATAAGAAAGTTACTTTTTGGCAGAAAACTCTTAAGAAAGAAAGGTAATACTCTTAATTTAGACAAGAATGTGGTAAAAATAAATGAAAATTATATTGATTATACACCATTTTTAATCCAAAAACAGCCCATTAATGATTTTGTTCACGAAAACTTAAATTGCAGCTTAAAATCATGAATTTAAAGATCTTTGTTATTTATTTTGCAGTACTCATTTCCACAAATATGCTTAAATTATATGTGATACGCATAAATTAATTTCTGGTCCATATTTATATGCTCTGCTTAAATCAACTTTGGTGTGACGGAAATATCTGCGATTATTGTTCTACCAAAATGTCCATAAATAAACTTTTCACTTTATTTATTGTATTGTTCCCTCCAAAACTATATCAGACCATTAAATTGCCAAACAAACGAAATAATTATCATAATTATTTGCATACCGTTTATGGTCGCAGCACGAAAACTGTGTATCTGAGTGTGGAGCAAACTGGCAATGAAGAATAAACACCAAACGCGATCCATTTTCCGCTGTGTTTTGCCTTCTTTTTTCTTGTTGAGTAGCTGTAGAAGATTAGGCTGGATGAGTACTTCAATTGGCCAAGATTCTCGTTTATGATTGACAAACAAAACAGCACAATTTACAGCCATCAAGACAGGGCCAAGACCCACTGGTGACATATTCAAGAGGTCCAGCCAACTTGCACAAATTGATTGCATAATTTCCGCAAACAAAAACTGCCCTCCAGCAGCACATTTCAAGTTCATTACGAGCACAGCAGACCAACGGACAGAATATTCGCTTAGATATATATATAAACTGTAAACATGATATTCCTATTTTTGGGGTCAGACGGAGCAAATGGCGGAAACTCATTTAATGTTCAACTAAATGATAAATGGCAAGAAGAGCTGACTGGGGTTTTGGAAAGTAGTGGGAGTAAGTCAACCCCATCAACTGTCACCGATTGACTTTCAGGATAAGAGTCTGGCCGGGACAGGCCAAGAAACGGAGACTTCCTTAGGGGGTACTGTGCCGCCACCTAGGATTTCCATGTCCTGCTGCTGCTGCTGGTGGTTTGTCAGAGATAACAAAAATCTTGGCAACACAGACTTCGTCTGCTGGCAGTCCGATTAGCCTTAAATATTTTCGCGAAATTTGTTTATTCTTTCAGGACGTTGTTTTTTATTTTTGGCACACACTCACACACTTGGTCACACGATTCTTTCAGTTTAGTGGGCTTCCCCGTCTATAATTTATATATATATATAAAAATATATATGCAAATTCTCCTTTAGCTAGGAGGCAGTCCTTTTGCACTTTTACGCGTTAACATCCGTTTGGTTAAGAGGTTCGCCGCCAACTGAGTGTTTGGCTGCTGAGCGACTATCCTTAAAAACAATTCCGCCCAAAGTCGTTTGCAGCCTCCGCAGCAGCCGAGAAACCGAAAGCTTGCCAAAGTCAGCGAGTCGAGTGCAAAAATCCAGCTCGAGTCGAGTGGAATTATCAGTGGTTGAGTGGGTTTTAAGTGAGTGAAATTAGAGTAGCTTTGGGATTTGTTGTGAGTGAGAATTGGGAGAGATTTCGGGCTGAGTAGAAAAAGTATGAGTGTCCTTTTTAGACAAAAGTTGTAGTTAAAATAAACTGAAAAGTTTAGAAAATTGTAAGAAAATTTACAAAAAAAAAAAAATGCAATATGATATCAAAATTTACACCCCTTATGTTACGAAATAGCATACAGCATACCCCTTGACATATTTTCCACTGCACCATGAAAGCATTGTGATGTCGCAGTAACATATATTTATATAAAAACCGAGATAATGCAGTGTCGTTTATAAGCATTTAGCATAATTACGGACAGCATACTTGCGGGAAATCCAAGCTCACTCTTATCGAATTCCCCTCAAGTTCAACGACAACAACAAAAATGCAATATATTTTTCCCAAGACCCATCCCATGCTCATTATCAATTTCACTTTGGGAGTGAATGAATTTCCCTTCCATCAGCGGGTTACATAAAGCAATTGCATTATGCGCCGCAAGAATCCAAAAATGGATGCACTCGATTTCGATTTCGCAGTATTTTCGGTGTCTGGCAGTACAACTTTAAGTTGGATGATGATAACGACCAACCAGAGCAGACGACCTCACATAGTTTCCTTTTATGATCATCGGGCCCAGCCATAAGTCGCAAAAGTCTCGTGCGACGCAAAATGATAAAGTTGCTGATGCAACCGAGCCGCATGTTGCAGTCAGCCAAAATGCTAAATGCTAAGTGCGTTGCAATTACAAGAGCAGCGAATTACAAAGATACACAACAGTTACTAGCGGCGAGGGAATGCCATGGCACAGTTTTTGGTCACCAGTCAGCGACAATTGCGATGCGTAAATGTTGCAAACTTGTTTCGGTTTCCATTTCGTTTGCAGTTTCAGGTTTGATTCAAACAAAAGGAAAACCAACCAATGACCAACTGCTGACCATGCCTAATTATGCGGACGGTATTGTGGTCGTACTGTAACTTTGGTCGCCTGAAAGTATGCAATTAAAAACAGCGGAGCGAGTGAGCATTTTCAAAGGTTCGCTTTTTGTACTTGCAAACTTATCCGTGGTTTATGACAATAGTTTTGATATTGTTTTTTCTATCATTTTAATATTTATTTTTATTGTCTCTACTAAATCGCGACACTAGAATTTCCCAAAGCTATTAGATTATTTCCTTAAATTTATCTGTTGGAAAAATATGAAAAATTACCAAAAAGCAGGACAAGCAGGGTCATGAATTCGAAATTAGTCAACTAATTCAGTTTTGTTCCGTTGAAAATCAGCAATAATAAATTTGTTCAATACCGGAAAATAATAAATTGCTTTCATTATAAACTAACATAGGTGCTAAATGAGCTTCAATTGGTATATAATTTTAAAGTTATCCTTAAACTGAAGTGTACTAAATCTAGTCAATATGATTTTCATGATTAAAAGATAAATTAATTAAAAACTTACCTATAAACTTGCATTCCTTGATCTGTTCATCGCTGTGATCCTTGCAGTCCGCATCGCCGTCGCAAACGAATCGAATGGGAATGCAGTCGCCGCTTTGGCACTGAAATTGCTTCTCGTCGCATATTGCCAATAGGGATTGCCCTGCAACATAAACAGATCCTGATTTAGATGGGCAAACAAACGCTTAAAGCTAATTATAAAGACTCAAAGTTACGGACTTACGGGCTTAGGGGCCACTCCACGCACACTTGCGCAAACTTTTCTCATTAAAGGAAAAATAACAAAAGCTCAAATTGATTAGGGCTAAAAACTTCAAAAACAATCAGCACCAGACATACACACACACACACACAGGCAGATACATCCGCTTGAGTATATACATATGTGTGAGTGTGACAAGTAATTTGCATACTAAACGATAAAATGGTAGGGGAGCGAGGAAGCTTTTAATCAACAGAAAAGCCTCAAACAAAATGGATCACAAAGTTTTTTGGCCTCCTCCCGCCCTCGCAAAACTCGCCAAAAAGCATGGGAGCCCTTGAAAATATGCAATACACATATTCAGAACAAAACAAGCCATCAGACCGGGCAGAAAACCCAAGGAATGTCAACAGACTTACAGAGAGAGAAATCGGTAGTACATGATAAAATTGTAAAGAAATGGAAGTTAAACTCCATAACTTAAAGGATGTTTTTTATATACTTTTTACAAGACAGTTAACTCTTCAGTTGGTTAGTTATTTAAGCTATTTGAACTTCTTTTTCCCTGTGCAAGGACCTAAAACAAAATGTGTCATCTAAAAAAATGAATGTAATAGATTGCCATTGAACAAACAGAGAGAGCTAGGAAAAGCGATAATAAAGAAAGAAGGCAATGCTGAAGTGGAATCGTTTTGAAAAGGGTTTTCCCAACCAGCTCCTGCCGTTGACAGCTGTTCTGTTGACCCATTCACATGACCTCCTACACCTCCTACTCCTCCTTTTCCTCTTCCAGGCGATCCATCACACATTTGCATATTTCAATAGGCCAATATTTTAGCATTACCATAACCATTTGCATTCCCATTTTCCATATGCATAAACTCGATAATTGTTGTAATTGAAGTTCGCAGTGCGTGTGGCAAAATAAACAATGGGATATCTCCGATTGCCAGACGTCAATCAATAAGGTCAAATCAATTTGATTTTGTGTCGCCGCGCTGGCTGGTCGTCGGGAATTGTTTTCAATTATGCATGATGACAGTCAACAAAATGGCGAATTATAATTCAACCAAATGAAAATGCAAATATATATATAAAATTTAAATGGGACAGATGGGGAAAATTCATTCAAGTAATTCCATATGACGTCAAACCAGGCGATGAATGAGTTCCTTTGCCTCATGCGGCATACGTATGAATAAGTCCAAAAATATATATTAGCTTCGGGCTTGAAGAAGGATTTAAAATAGGATAATGGAAAAATAATAGGAGTAAGGAGCTTCTCTGACCATAAATAGGAAAAATGCCAAAAATATCCATACTTTGTAACCCTGAATGTGGCTTAAAGGAAGTCGAGCAACATCTTATTCAAATTGATAAGGGTCTTAAGAAGGTACATTCTTGTGATAAATTCGAGATGAATTGAACAAAAGAAAAGGATATATCCTTGAAAAATGATTTAAGGCTGCAAAAAGCAAGCCCATCAATTAACCTATTTATATTTTTTCCAACCGGTTGCAGTCCAATCAATCAACTTCCATTGTTTCCTTGTCACATGCTAAACCCACTGACTAACTTAATTGAACCAGTCGGCTAGTGATTACAGAGAGTTTCCGTAATGAGACGCAGACACACCCCACAGATCGCAAAACCAGTTTAGTATTATCGAAATCATAGTCAGACTGTTTGTCGGTAACTTCGATAACAAAATTCAGACGCGCGACTATGAATAAATTAAGAATATCGAAAATACCGAAATGCTTAGCATAGCTAATGATTTTGTTAATCGTCAAAGGCGAAAACAAGTTCACAATCCGGTTGGCTTAACCCAATAAACTTCAATTTGCCCCTCGAAAATCAGCAACTGCAAGTTGTCATCATCATACGATTTTTTCGTTCCCCATTAATAAAAAACAGCCAATCAAATTTTTAGTTAAGATTAAAAGTTATCTCATGGTCAGTTTCTACTAGAACCGAATTACTCATAATTATGTGAAAAAGTGAGCATAAATTGATAAGAATGTTTGGGTTCAATGGAGTGCAAAGTGCTGGGAAAAAATCACAATGTGTTAATCTATTTTCTTTTTTTCCTATTTAACAAATTAATACTAATTTATTTGTATAAGCAAAAACATTGATAAGCTCAGCGCCCCCGATTGCGTCAAGATCAAGGTTAATGGATTACCTGATAATTGGAGGAATGAATTGGATTCAATATATAAAATGACTTAACACGTGATTCCCTGGGGGATACTATAAAGTTTGATTTGGGCATCATACGATGTCTCAGCAAATTCGATAGAATTGTTGAATCAATCAAAACATGTTTACTGTAAGCAAACAAAACAATTAAACTGCATCAACATTCCCTACGTAAGATGAGCACGCCCACTATTCATTTGTTATTGTTTGTTGTTTGTTGTTCGATTCTGGCACAAACTAGTTTTATATGCTAGAGAAAATCTGTTGGCACAGCGAATAAATTAAAAACTAAGCGAAATGGGGCGCACAAATGAAAATTAAATCAACTTCTGTCTCTCTCTTTTCGCCGACCTTGCAACATCACATATATGCTATATACATATATGCAGAAAATAACATATATCAAATCAAGCATATGTTAATTTATATGACAGCAACTCTCAGGCAAGAAAACTCAAATGGAATTAGCAATAAATCAACAGATGGAAATTTCAAATGCTCTCCAAAGAGAGAGATTGAGACTCTCAGAGAGATAGTAAGAGATAATGGCCCATAATGGGCTGTGTTACAACGCAAATCATCAGAAAAATAGGGGCTCGACTCTGTCTGTATTTATGTGCATTTTCCTAGTTCACAACAACATGATGAAGAGCCCGAAGAAAATATTTAAATTTAACCAAAAAACATCGCATTTAGTCGACTTTCGGATTTTCTGGACTACGTCAAGTTTCTTCTTGAAAAATTTGTGAAATGCGACTTGTTTTTTGTGAGCGGGTTAAGAAAAAGTATGTGTTTTCTGTCAACAATCTAATTTATATTGAACAAAGTCCAAGATTCCCGAGAGCAAAGTACAAAATTTCAAGTAAATGAGACATTTTTAGCCTAAAGACTGTTTTTTGGCAGTCAAAATGTTGATTGATTTCTGTGAATAACAAATGTTTAAAAAAAGATTTAAGGATCTAAAAATGTTCACAGAAAACAATTAGTATTTTCCCCATTTGAGATCTTTCAGGATTAAAAATCCTTTAAATTTTTAAAAATTAAAGTAAAATTTATTAACAACTTTTGATGTTCTTCAAATCGATATTATTTCAAGATCATTTGAATGACACTATAAAATGTTAAACCCCCGCTATATTATCACTCGATTACTTCTTGATTTATAGAAGGGAATTTCTATTGTCTGGCTGCCCTTGATTAGCCACTTGTCGCCGAATCGCAAAATCCCGGCCAGTCGAAAAATGCATAAAAACAAATCGTAAAATTGACCGATAAGATAATCCCCAGTTCAGGGCTAGCATTAAACTTAGTAAATCCCTCCTATTGGCCAAAGCAGGTGGCTAGATTTAAAATTAGATTTATGATTGGAATGCCCCGTGCCACGGGAAACGTCATAGTCAGACAGAAAACGCTTTTCTTATCTAGAAAATTATTTGAAGATACGGATAAACAGTGGTCAGTGGCAGGGCGGAAATCAATGCGGAAGTTGATAAACAATTTTCGTCTATTTCGATACCACGGTAAGGTAAACCGGTGAACCGGTGTGTGCATGTGCAACAAGGGGCAAGTGCATTTAGTATGCAACTGTGTCTGTATCTGCATCTGTGTTTGTATCTGTATCTCTTAAACTGAACCCATTTCAAGTGCATGATGTGTGAAGCTAGCAATGACTCGACACTAGATACCCTTGCTAAAAAAGATTGTGCGGATTATAAATTACCTATGATGAAGTTCCAAATTAAATAATAATGTTAAATAATAATATTGAGAGGCCATAAATATTGAAATCTTATTATTTAACAAGGTATGTCAAGTATGTTTGTTTTGGTCTTTAAGGTTTTAATGATTAATGACTATGATGAAATTAATAATTTAAAAATTATCAACAGAAGTTCACTTAAATTAAGACAAGTGGAAAAAATATTGATAATAATTGATGATCTTGTTTGTAAATCAATTAAGGGCCATATTATCATTACCAATTAATTTGAGAAAATATATTATAAGTATTACCTATTGTTGATGATTAGGCTGTATATCTATTCCACGTGTCTTAAAGTATCTACGTATTTTAAACTTTTAAGTTTGAAGGGCTTAAAATTTTTCCACTACGAAAATAATATTGCAAAAGAGATAAAGTTATTACAGTAACCAATATATGTATTACTAAACCAAGGTTTAAGTATCTCAGTAAAAAAATATTATTATATTAAAAAAAATATGATCGATAGAAGAAAATATTACTCAAGCATTTTAGATTTTATTAAATTTACCTATCATCATTATCAATCTAGTAAATAAGTCGTCATTTTCAGTAACTTATAGGGTATCCCAACTCAATTTTCCACTTCAACCTCACCGTCGTCTCGTGTGGTCTAAAATTAGCACATGCTAAGTTATAAACAAACTTCTCACTTACTTCCCCACCCCCGTTCCACAGCTTCTCTATCTGGTTTTCTTGAGATTTTCCTTGAGTTTTTCAATTGCATCTCAACTGATAGAAAATTCTTGATTTCTCACCTATGCCGAGGGGTGTGCCAATCTTTCCGGAAACGTTCAGAAACTTGAAGCCCATGTTGATGAAGGCCTTGCCATCGATCAGTTTGCTCAACGAGCCGCCCTCGTCGGCCAAAGCTGGTGTACTAACTGCTGATGTGGGCGTGTCCGTTGAGGGCGTTATCAGTGGTGTGGGCGTGGCACTGCAGCATTTGCCAAAGCCGAGTATCAAAGTTAACAGCAGGAGATTGAAATTTGCGCAAGCGCAACGGAACAGCTGTTCGGCCCGCCGCTTCTCGCCGAGATTACCGATGGTTATTGGAGATTTGGAACTTATTGTTGGTTTCACAGCTGGTTTTGTGGTATCACTTGCAGTGCTCGTAGAGCGTGACTCTATGGCCATGGTATGGTCTTTTACTTGGCTACCGTTTTTTGCTCTTCTTTTGCTTTAGTTTTTTATGTCTTTTTTCTTTTGTTTTTACACACTTTTTTTAGGTTCTTTGATCTTACAAAGTATTTACACTGTATTGGTAGAGGGAATAGAGCAATGGGGTGATTTTTGGCGTGACCCTGACTATCAGATTATCTAAGCAGGAAGCGTGAGATCTTCGCTACAGATTATCTAATCAGAGAAATGGCCAAAAGAGACAAGCGCCAAGCGTAAAAATAAACGCAAAAACATTGAAAAATCGCTAGCCAGCCAAAAAATAAATAAATAAAGAAAATAAAATAAGCAGGCGATCTGGCTAATTCTCTTTTTTTTCGGCTCTCTTCTCATTTCTTATTTCGGACTGCGCTGACCGAAGAAACTGGTTAAAAATCGTGCGACACACAAAAACCGAACGAATGAAAATTAAGCAAAAATATCGGGCAACAGCAGCAACAACTAGTGATCGCCGAAAAAATGCGAAGAGAGCGAAATGTAAAACGCACAAAAATACACAGAAAATCCATTATTTATAAAGCAGTTTGGAAGGAAGTTTGAAAAGAAAGCAAATAAAAAATATTGAAAGTATATTTGACGTTGAAAACAAATATTTAAATTTAGGTTTATTTTATCAAGAAACAAAACCAAATTTTTGTTTTTTTTTTGTGTACAAAAAGTCAAAAGCATTTCTGTTGACGTTGACAATTAATGAAGTTGAAGTTAACTTTAAATTTGTTATTGAAAGACTAGCCACGCCCCCTTGATCGCGGCAATTAATTAATTGATTATTGGTTTTTTTGAGTTAGCACGCGTTAACTTGCTCTGATAAATACACTCGTTATCAGTTTGGCTTTTTATTTTGATTTATTTATTGCTTTTTTTTGCGCTATTTTCAAGGTGTCTGAGAATTTGCGACACGTGCTCAACGCGTCTTTCCAAATTTAGTTAATAGATCATTGCATTTACGTTAAGACTTGTAGAATGTTTCAATTACATGAGTTTGGTTTTGGCTGATGAGTTTGTATTTTGGTTTCAGTCTGTTTTTTTTTTGGGTTGAAAATAAACCGCTAAAAATCGTTGATACCCGGTTCGCACAACGCGCCTTTTTCAACTGAATTCGTTTTGAGAATTGGCCTGCAAATTTAAGCGAATTGGCAACGATTTTTATTCGAGAGTTGAGAGCGCTTGCCGTTTTGCGATTGTGTATGTTGTTTTTGCACCGCCACAAGGTGGCCTTATCAAAGTGACAAGAATACAGCCAGACCCGTCGAAGAGATATATAAAAGCCTGAAGAGAGATTGGGGCTCTCTCGGTCCCAAGCGATGCTGCCCTCGACTGCTCTTAAGATCTTTCATAAGATGCTCTTAAGGCAAACCTGTTGATCAGTGATCGCTGATCAATGAAGCGTATTTTGATGTTCGATGTGAATGGTTAGAGATTGGGCAAGGTTCTATAGATTTCGAGTGATAAGATTTTTATCAACTCATTATTTCGAAATAGCGAGAATTTTGAGTGTTTTTTAATTGAGATTTATTATGATGAAAGCTGAAGACTATATTTTAAATAAATATTATGGAAAAAAAAATACAAAATATAAAAAGATATTTATTATAAATTATCTTTAAAACACAAATTAAAATATCAACTAATTTTTAGTTTTCTTCTTAATCAAAAATTTGCTTTGTTTTTATGTAGTCCTTATCTTAGTGCCTTCGAATTACTGCGATTTATTTCACAACTAGACAGAATTCTGAGGAAATATGTTGAATAAGTATTGATTATTATCTTGTCGTAATAAGAATCCACTTTGACACCAAGCATTCACTTTAATTTAAAAATGTGTTATTTTGTACTTAAACAAGGCAAATACCACGAGAAATCATAAAGAAGGACTCAAGTGGTATTTTGTTTGCCGTCGACAAACTTTGGTTATGCAGACCATGTAAGTTATATAGCCATATAATTGTGCAAGCAATTATTTAATTTTATATTAAAGGGTAATTATTATTAAGTTTTCAAGGGTCTTAGATAGGAAGTTAAGTTTTCTTTAAGATTTCGGTATATAAAAAGAGTTTTGGTTATTTCCAGCCAATTATCTACTACAGTACCAACCTGATTGAAAGGACAAAGCCAGTGAGATCACAATCAACACGCAGAGATCACTTTTATGCATCGTACTGTCCAAGAAAAGATACTTGTTGATCAGAATTTATCTAGACTTCCTTTTTGCGTTGCCAGCGCGTTTATCAGTGCGCAAAAAATCCGATATTTTTTAATTAAACTGAACAACCGGACGTGTGAAAATGGTGCGATATCATACGACAGCCGTGACGTTCTACGTTCTGCATGGGCACACCGAAACCATATCCAGGTGTCAATAGGTGTTTTGCCTATAAATTTGATTTACTTATTTTTGGTTCTGCCTTTTGAAGACCCGGAAGGTTTAACGGTGCGATGCCCAGCGAAGACCGATGCGAACTGAATTGCTTTTTGGCGATGGTCAGACGGAATCGCGGCTCATTAGCATTGAAAGTGTCGCCGCTTTCAATCAAACCAGGTGCGGCGGTGTGGTTGTGATTGAAAGTGGTATGAAATTCGGAATTGAATTGGAGTGTAGTGTAGTGGATAGGATTTGATAGGCTTACGGTTTGGTTTGGGTAGAATTGAATGACGTCGATGACTGATAAGAGGCGGAGGAAAACCGCAGCCAGCGGACAGAATGGGTCAGAGAGGCAAGTGTCAGTGGTAAAATGCGTCATCTTCATAACAATCATCATCGGCACAACTAGCATCATCATCATCATCATCATCCCAATCAAAATCTCAATCAAACTCACAATCACAATAACCATAACAACGCAATGCAGGAGCTGCATGGTCGACGTCATCTGCATTTGTCATGGATTCTCTGGCATAACCGTCCACTTGAAATGGGCATAATTTATGATTTACGCGTGTAAATCATTTTTCAAGCACCACCCCTAGGATGCTTGTGAATGACAGAAAACCCTGGAAAACCACCGCACCGCCTCCCCTCCTGACATCCATTTGAGTTCGCAGTGCGCCGCCGTTTCTAATTGCAGGCGTTCGAAATCGCTGGCGAATCGCTTGCAAATCGCCTAATCAAGCACTTCAATTGACACTGCATTTTATCGCCCTAGTCGTGTGTTCAAGTTTTGTCGAGTGTGAGTTTGGGTAAACAGAGGTATATATATGTATATACCAAGTCTTTTGTGGTTTTGTTAGGCTTGAAGGGCCGTGCTCATCTATCGCTGGGCCAGATAATGATCGGTAATCTCTGAGTGGGCTGACTGTAATCGCTATTTTCGGATGCCGAAAGAGGAGTCACTTGGCTATCAAGAAAAAATAAACTTAAGAATATTAAGAAAAAATCAAAGGCCATAACAAAGGAGTTACGAACAACAAGAAAATTAATAGAATTTAAATAGAATTTTTGAAGATTTTGCAAAGCAGAAGATGTATTTGAAAACGTTTTTAAATCGTAAAAACATATTATTATTGGATCCATATCTATTTTTATATTACATAATAGTTCAATTTAAGCAAGTCCTACTGTAATCACATGTGATATGAATTAATTTACTAAGTGAATTGATCGAGTAAATTAGAAGTGGAAATTCAGGCTTGTGTCATTATCAAAAGTCAGCCTAAATTCCATATACCCTTCCCATATCAGTTCAAAATCAGGGCATTATAGCGCAGTTAGGAATTGCATTTTCAAAGTGTACAGTATTGTTATGCCAAACGTCTCCTTATGGTCTATTTGATGTCTTGAGATCAGTTTGTTTTACACCTCATTTGAGGTAGGTCTTGTAACACTTTGTAACGCTTTTTCTGGGAACTCTTTTGTATTATTATTATTAGCACTGATTTCCTTCGATAACTTTGAGTTTGTTTATTTATTTTAGTTACGTTCTAAACAGTATAGTTTGGTCCTTAACACTCCGGCTTATATCATGCATTGTATCTTATTTATTTATTAAAAAGCACTTTTTTACTACCGATCCACTCGACTGACGCCGCGTTTCTAAATGTTAGACTTAAGTTTTTCCTCAGTCTTTCTTTTTACCATTTCCAATACACATCACCCCACAAAGGGTTGCTTTAATTTTCTATTAACATATTTAAATAATTAACATAGTGCAGTGAACGACGTCAAATGAATTAAAGAGAGAGGAAAAGTTTGATAGTTTTTCACATTTTTTTTATTTTTGTATTTCATTTTAAACATTTATTGTAGAAGTTTTTTAAAGTTAACTTTTGCAAAGTTATTGATGGATTTTAAAGTTATTTTTTTACATAAAATTTTTTTAAAATATTTTTAATTATAGTTAATTACTAACGAATCACTCACTATTAAAATATTTATAGAAATTTACATTTTTATAGAAGCAAACCGTAAATTAAGCTCAATTTCGAAACGGTAAATTTTAATGACCCATTAACGGTAATATAATTGACAATATGTTGAGACAATAGACGCGACGGCCGGCAATCAATATTCAAATGGAAAACGTTTTCGAAAGTTGCGCCCGATTGGGAAAAGTCTTCGAATCGGAATGTAAACAGCGAATGAATGAGCGAAGAAGTAACGGTAAATTTCACATGTGGCAAATGACAATAGAAGTCGCCGACGCAGCTGCCACTGCCTCGGCCTCGGCCTCAGCTTCCGTCAGCGTCGCAGTCGCAGTTACCGCGGCGCATTAGCAGAAGATTTTCCACTAACAAAAATAATTGTGGATGCTGCTGGAAAAGCTCTGTTACTACACTGTTAACCGCTTAACAGTGAATGTTGCGCAGCAGCGACGTCAGCGTTATCGCTCATAAACGTCATTCAATGGCCATATCTTTATGGTTGCTACTGCTTCGGGGTGTTCGCATGTGTGTGTGTGTGTGGTGCAAGTGTGTGTTTGTCTGCCCAGCGAAGCGTTGCTAAATATGAAAACATAAAAATTAATGTTATATTTATAGTGTGGCAGCAAAAGTTGCGGCAGGAGGCGTTGCGGTCGCTGCAGGGCAGCAGCAACAACAACAAAGCATAACCAGAAAAATCAAAAGTAGTAACAGAAGCAAAAGAAATAGATACACTGAGAAAAATATTTGCAAGCCTTATTAATCAATTTGTGTTTTTTATATATTTATATAATATTTTCAATTAATAAATTTTTAAATTACAATATACATATGTTTGCTTCCTTGGGTATTTTTTTATACTTCTTTAATCAATTTTTTATAAATATATTTAATTAATAATATTTTTTGTATATAATATAATCAAATCTTCGAAAAACGTATATATTTTCTGTTTGTTTTTCCGCCCAATTTCAATTTTGAAATACATTTTTAACACATTTTCTTTACATGTAAATCGTTGTTTTTAGCATTTAGCTATGTAATAATCTATTTATTAACTCATTTTTAATGCTTTTGTTATTTGTATTAAATAATTTATGAAAACTATATTTTCTCCTCGTGCACCAGTAGCCGTAAGTCCTGGCCAAGTGTCGGCTGTTGGCTTTTGCTGGCTGGTATTTGTTGGTACTATATTTGCTTTGCCCGGCGGCAATTCGTTCGCTTCTGCTACTTTCCACTCACCCAACTATTTGTACTTATGCCACAGGCCACCGGGGGGAATCCAAGAGAGGTTAGTAGGAAATGGAAGAGGGAACCTCCGTTTATCCCTTTTGAATTTCAATAAGCAGAACAAAATATTTTCAACGATAAATCGCTAAAATAAATACATGTATGAATCGGGTAGTGGTTACTCGCTAATGAAAACGGGAAATCCATTTTAAATATAAACCCCACTATTTTACGGTAAGGATTCGATAAGCCTAATAATCTTAATAGGGAATTTTATTTATGTATTAAATATTTTTTATTTTAAATTTTAGCAAAAGAAAGAACGTAATTCCAAGTTTAATAGAGAATGAAAGAGTGTTTAATATGTATTTTTTCTACAATATTTACTGTGCCCCCCGGGCATTCTGCTGGTATTTGCGGCATGCATTGTGTGTGTTTTGGCCCACATACGTAGCATGCCCCCTCGGCAGCCGTGCGAAAAGGTTGTGGCCAACGTGGCGTATGATGAATTCAATTGTCTACCCAAGCATTTGCGGCCAGGCAGATCAGTTTAGAAAAGTTAGTTGATTACACAGGTTAGATGAGTGGGTTATGAAATCTGTGTTTTAAATAGCCATTGATAGGGAGATGAAATGTATCGATTTAACTTTATTAAAGTACAGCTTAACTGGAAGTTAAAAGCTACGTAGCTAGTAGCAAATATCTAAGGAAAACTCTAACTTGATTTCCTCTACTTTTGACCATTTTTTCCAAAAACTCTAAACGCTGATTGCAGCGTACTCAATTGGTCAACTTTAGTTGACCATTCGACGAGGAAACGGGCTGTTAGCAGCTGCTACCTACGTTTGCCAGGCCAGCATTTTTACTACTTTAAGCCCAAAAAAGCTGTGGCTGCCACATGGAGAACACAAAGAACTAACCAAGACCACAAACCAGCCGAAAAGCGA